AGGAAAAAAAATACCTGAATTTCTCTGATTCATTGTTTCGGGATTTTTGTTTTCCTTTATGTTTTGGAGGCTGACCTGTGAATACAAAAGCATTTGTTCCTGAGATCCATACATAAAAATCCACAAGCCTGAGAGCAAAACAATAAAAACATAAGTAAATTGGAATAAGAAAGCCAAAGAAGCAATACTATATTAGAGCTTAATTACAAACAGGTAAGCCAGAAAGGAAGGAAGGCACTGATGATGGTATTCTATGTATAATGTAAAATTATTACAAAGATAAATTATAATGGTGATAATAGTTATTTAGATTTGCAGCAGATACAGAGAGATATAGGCAAGGGCTCCTATTCTCAGGCATTTTACAATCAGATGGAAAGAAAGGACACATCATTTTAGTAATGAAGATAAGAAAAGACTATGCCATTATTGACACATTAATTCCACAGCCAGTAACTTCTCTCCTAACTACAGAAGGAAGAAATCACCCACCTAAGGCAGAGTGGTTGGGGAAAGGCTTGGTGAGGATGCAGCCTTTCTTTGGTCTTAAGATGAATGATTTGGACAGACTGGTTGGAACCCGAGAGTAGAGTTCATTTATAAATACTAAACCTGTACAATCTTAAGAGCTCTAGCAAGATAGAAGGCTAGAAAATGACTGCAAAGGCAGGCTGGTGTGAGTGTTCGCAAACCCTTTGCTTCAGATACCCATGAGTCATCAGGCTAGCCTTTATCACACTGGCAGGAATCAAGCCTCTGTGTAGCAGGGGAGTGACACATTCAAAACTACATGGAAGAGTGAGCATGGTGGAAGGATAGAGAATATGTGCTAGGTTTGTGGGGACAGCACAGAGCCGATCAAGGTCAATGAAATAAGAAGGGTGGAGCCCAAGCTGGCTTCAGTAGCCTCAGAAACGAAAGGCACAGGAGTCTTAGTGTAATTTCTGCTTGTGAGGTTGGGTAAAACTATTTAACCCTAATCCTGGGATTTCAAGTTCTTTTACTGAACGTGGATACTGATGAGTAGATAGTATTTAAATAAGTTATTTAAATGTGTTGTCTGCTAATAATAGCCTAAGAAATATTAACGAATTAAAAACTACCTTTCTAAGAAAAAAAAAAAGCTTAATCCTCAAAGATGTTTCACAGGGTGTTCACAATAGGTAAGACAAACACATAAGTTTCCCACTCACTGTAAGCACACTAATTGCTAACCAACTGCAAATGTTCAGTACTAAGGGGTTCAACCCCTTAGTATTAGACCCCAGAGAAGACAGAATGTAGGTAGTAAAAGATAAAAATGGATAGAAACAAAGCCATTCAAAAGAAAACAAATGAGAGAAAGTAAAGACAGCAACAGGTATCACTAACTGGAGGCCAACAATCCACTTCAATAACCCTGAAAGGTACTCCCTCTATATAAAAGCTTGAGATGAACAACTATTGGGTATAACAACCTTTAGAATCATTAAAAAAAAAAAGTCTATTTCCTTAAACTCTTGTTTTAAAAAACAGAGAAGCATGTAATCCACGTGAGAAAGATTTTCCTCAAAATTGAAACTAAACAGGAATTAGCCTAAAGCATTCTTATGGGCTGAATGTGTTGCTCCAAGATTTGTTATGTTGGAAATCTAATCCCCAATGGTTTTAGGAGGTGATTAGGTCATAAGGTAAAGACCTCGTACAGGAATTAGTGCCCTTATAAGAAGAGGCCCCAGGAGAGGCCCCCATCCTTCTATCATGTGAGGACACAGCAAAAAGTTAGCCATCTACTGTTGGGCACAGTAGTACACCCTGTAATCCTAGCAACTCTGGAGACTAAAGCAGGAGGATCTCAAGTTCAATGTCAGCCTCAGCAACTTAGCAAGACCCTTTCTCAAAATAAAAAATAAAAAAGGCTGGGGATCTCGCTCAATAGTAAGTCCCTGGGTTCAATTCCCATTATCCAAAAAAAGGTCATCCATTAACCAGGAAAAGAGGCCTCACCAGATATCAAAACTGCTGGCACCACAATATTGGATT